GTGATCAACAATAGACCAGGTCCCTGCCCCTGCTCCTCCTTTTCAGATACTATGCATTCTGTTTGTTATCAGGCAGCCCAACAGTGCACGCACAACAATAAAACTTACTGGACAGGGATAAGAGTAAACAGAAGCCCAGCCCCCACAGAGGGTGGTAATCTAGCCTCTTCTCAGTGTATCAGCTCACCTGGAGCAAAGATATGTTGGAACTTGGAGGCCCCACTGGGATATACGGATGGTGGTGGCATCCAGGACAGGGTCCGGGAGATAAAAGTCCAACAAGAAATTAAACAACAGCTAAAGACCCTGTACCCTGAGCTCAATCACCATCCTTTAGTCATCCCTGAGAACAGGGGAGATCTAAACCTCAATCCCCGCACTCAGGACTTGCTTGAACTGACTCATGCACTCATAAACAGCACCAATCCTAACTTAGCCTGTGATTGCTGGCTCTGCCCTAAGGTCGGAGCTCCCCGACCCCTTGCAGTTATTGTCAACACCTCCGACCCAGTCAACCTCACGGCGACTCTTAATTGTACCATGACCTCTCCCATCCTGGTTCAGCTGATGCCTATGACAAAGGGCCCATGTGTCCAGGCTCCACCCTATCCCAATGCTTCCCAGACTGATATAGGGAGTGTCTCTCCCGAGTTCTGTAGCTTAAATATCTCCTTGGAAACTCCCATGGACTCCTGCCCCCCTGAAGGCATGGCCATGGCATGTGGAGGTGGGCTGGCCTACAGCTTTCTGCCAGCTAACTGGATGGGCCTTTGTGTCTTCGTCATTCTGCTCCCTAACATCGACATAATATCTGGCAATGAGCCCCTTCCTGTCCCCTCCTTTGACTACATCAGAGGCAAGAGCAAGAGAGCTATTCAAATGATCCCCCTGTTAGCCACCTTAGGAATAACCACCGGGTTGGCTACAGGGACCGCAGCACTGGGGATAGCCACTCATGGATTTAGAACGCTTTCTTTGCAGCTAATCAATGATGTACAGATTCTGTCAGACACCCTGCTAGACATCCAGAAACAGCTTGATTCCTTAGTGGAGGTTGTCTTACAGAATAGAAGAGGGTTAGATTTACTAACTGCCGAAAAAGGGGGGATATGTTTGTTCTTACAGGAAAGATGCTGCTTTTACGCCAACAAATCTGGCATTGTTCAAGATAAGATCAGAAACCTTCAGGAACAACTAAACAGGCGGCGCGAAGAATTACGGAACAACCCCCTCTGGACTGGACTCAATGGCCTTCTTCCCTACCTTCTGCCCTTACTTGGGCCCCTTCTTGCCATCTTACTTGTAATATCTTTTGGCCCTTGGGCCTTTAGAAGGATTACAGCCTTCATTAAGGGTCAGATTGATGACCTTGCAGCCAAACCTATTCAGGTGCATTACCACGGGTTGGAGCTTGAGGACC